GAAACATGCAAAACGGGACGGAAAACATGAAATTTTGCAATAATCTTGCGCCACCCATGCACAAAACGACAATCATTTTTCTAATTTCATAAACAGAAGACTGGATCCGCCCCTGCTTCAGAGAGAAGAACCAAGAGGCGTTAAATCGGGGCTATTAGGGGGACATTGGAAGGCGAAGCCCAGCTCGTCCAATCGAGATTTTCATTTGGAAAAAATGGTAACAGCGAACTTCGTGGGGTGAATAAGATCATTGATCTTCATCAACAAATGTTCTCATTTTTGTTCCTTTAGAAGAATATTTCCTGTCGCAAATGTATTTTTACAATTTCTCCAAATTACTGACTTAGGGGCGTGTGTGAACTTTCGACTTTACAATCATTTAATCCATGTTAGTATTGGGAAAATGTGGGCGTTTGTATTCGATTTTTCATCTTAAAGTTCTTTACCTTATTGGGCCTTCAACGCTTTCTAGAAACTCGAAGATTATGTTCAGCTTGGACTTGATTTCGACCTCAGGTTCATCGCGGGCGTCAAAGTTGAGGGCAACTCCGCATAGTTTTCCCGCTTCGTTTCTGGCGACGAAGCTGAGGTTTTTGTCCAACAAAGGCTGCCAAAGCGCCTCCATCAGCTCGTCGTAGTCCGATACTGAGAGTTCCGAAATAATCTCCTGCTCCAAATCGGCCTTGTTGTAGAAGCTGGTTGTTACCATGCTGTGAAGGAAAAGTTGCTGGCCTTCTGCACGAATTATTCCTTATTCGGGCTTACTCTAAAACGGGCGTTTTGTAGTCCGGTTTCAGCAGTTCAGCGGCGAAGCTTGGGGGTTGTTTCATGATTTTCGTATCCTCAGTCATTCTTTGGAGCACTTCGCCAAAGTCGATGGCCGATATAAAGTCCCCGATGCCTGCAATAATCCGCGATCAACCCGATGGGAGTCTCGAGAATTCGCGAATTACTCACTTATATGATAGCCCTTTTCCGTCAGTCTGCAAATGGTGAATATGGAGTTCAGGGAGTTGCCGCCCACTTCGTAAAAGTTTGCGTTCACTGAAATCGCATCCCTAACCGATCGCCCCAAAATTGCTGCCACTGTTTCAAACAGATCTTTTGCAGCTGGTCGCTGATGCGCTGGCACTCCTTCATAGCTGATCTCAACTTCCGGCATAGAATCATCTAAAAACCCATTTTATCCAGCGATTTTCCATTGATTTTTAAATGGAAACCTACCGTTGTTGTTGGTGTTTTCATACATTTTGAGCAAACCTTGTCGATCGACTTTTCCATTCACCAGCAAGGGAATGTGTTCAGTCAGAATCACTTGAGGAATCATGTAGTTGGTGAGTTTGTCTCTGAGCAAAATTTCGATTTGGTGCTCACTGAGCAGCTCTTTAGTCGTAACGAAGGCCAGAAGGGCTTGACTGAGTTCGCCTGGTTTGTAGCATAAAACAACAGCTTTATCCACCTGGAATTGCAAGGCAATGGGTTTAGAGCGACTAGAAGAATTGGAGTTGCAAAGTTCATGGATCCATTGAGTTGATTATTTAAGAATCAGTCGTCGATTATGATGAGATTTTTAGGAAACTGGCCTTTCGGAACCTTTTAAAAATGATACAAAGGACGTTTGGGGAGTTTTATCTTGAAAAACGTCCGCCGAATATTTGGAATTTTTCGTGAATTGATCGGAATTCTTATAGTAGAGTAGGTACGGATATCTAGATTCGAGTTGGGCTAATCTCAAGCATCTGCAGGTTTTGGCGAATTTCCTAGAGTTACAGTAAAATGTGGGTTTCTTACTCCTTCCAGTGAATTGACGGCTTTTTCGACCTCCGATAAATCCACTCGATGTCCGCGAATTTTCACTTGCGAGTCCGTTCTTCCCTCGTAGACCAAAGTGCCCTTTTCGATCTTTGCAAAGTCTCCAGTGCGGAATAATTTGGAGAAGACTGGGTCAATTGCCAAGGGGTTTTCGACGAATTTTTCCGGGTCTCGACCTGAAAACCGCACATGAGTTTCAGCTTCATTTTCACTGTATAATCAAAAAAAAATCACGATTTTGGGCGACTTTTTTTTGGGTGAAAGTGTCTTCTACAGATCGGGAAATTAAAAAATTTCTAGATGGTTTAGTTTGGAGCATATGAATTTTTAATAGAGCAAACGCATTTAAGTAAAAACTACCATTGAGATCGACTTTTTTGCCAATCCGAAAAAATCAGAGTTTTAGGGAATTTTTGTGAAATTTTCCGCATCTGTAGAGTAACATGTCTTCAAAATTGTAGATAAGTTTTATATTGTTGAGGCGGATTCATTTTTTTACAAACTATTTTTTGGGTATTTGGCCTCAAAAATTTTTGGAGGAGCACTATTTATCAATCTGTAATAAAAGACGTGAGGAAATTCTGTCTTTTTCAAAGACAAACATTTTTGAGGCGAAATACCCAAAAAGAAGTTTGTAAAAAAAATGTCTTCAAAAGAAATAGAAAATTTCGGATTCCTACTTGCTTTGGCTTGGAAGATTCGAATTTTTAATTGAGGAAGCGCAATTAAGTAAAACCGTCCATTCACACCAATGTTTTATGAAGCCGGAAAAATTCAGAATTTTGCGCGATTGTTCAGCATTTTTAGAGTTTTTCTATCTTTCAAAGATAGTAATTAAATTAAAATAAACAACTCCAATGGCTAAAACTCTTGAAAACTTTAAAGTTTCCGGACTTTGCTTACCATTCACATATCCAGCAGCCAAATTCATTCCAGACACGAACAGTTCCCCAACTTCTCCAGCTTTCACCGGACGAAAATCCTTGTCTAGCAAATATATCATGGTGTTATCCAAGGGTAAGCCTAAAAATCCACGTAAAAATCACCTTTGCTCCCTTAAATTCCAGCAAAATATACTGTAGACTAACTAACTAACAAGGCTTTTTTATAAATGCCTTACTGGTAAGTGGATCTTAATGCGGTTACCTTGCCGATAAATAGTTCTCTTTTGTTGGTTTATTTATTGTTGGTTGGTTTATTTAATTAATAATTAAAATGCAACGAACCGTGCAGTTGATATGTACAGCCATTAAAATGAAATCGGGTACAAGGTTGAGATGTAAATGTTAATTTTATCGCCAATTTGGGCTATTTTACCATAGAATCTTACCAATAGGCACTTTGTGCAGATGCTGCAACTGACTCACAGCTTCGATAACGTGATAAGTCACATCCCCCATAATCTCGGTGCTGCCGTAGAAGTTGCACAGTTTTGCTCCGTTTTCTTTGAAGTATCGAAAAAACTCCTCTGCTAGGGAAACTGCCAAAGTTTCACCCGAACATACCCAAGTTTTCAGCGATTTCAATGCCTGTGCGTTGTTCTGCAATGCAAAACAAAACGGTTTAGGTTTGTGGTTGGGGTTTTCCAACCATTTCCTCACCTGCAGTTGAAGGTAAGCCAAAATACTCCTCAACAGTGAAGGCACCAGAACTAGCCGTTCGATCTAAGACATAAAAATGCCACTAATTAAATAAAGTTGCGATAAAGATTGCAAGCCGCGCTGTTCAACTACCCGCTAATACAATACAAGGTGCGAGTTTGAAGTAGGAATTTCCATCTTTAATGAAGACATTAAAGGTCAAAAACCTTTAAGACTTAAAGCAAAAAAATACCTGATATTCATCGATGAGATTCACCAGTTTTTCCGGGTCTTTGGTCAGAGCTTTCGGGACTACGAGTATGCATAAGCCATTCAATAAGGGCCCCCAAATCTCGCTTACACTGTCTACGAAAGTGAGGGCTGTTTTAAAGACGCACATCTTTTCGGTGAGGCTGTAGGGGAAGCGTTTGAATTGCCATTGGAGCCGGTTGAGGATCACTTTGTGAGGTAATCGTACTCCTGAAATCGAGTGGTTGACGAATTCCCTTCAATCTGTTTAGTGATTTTAGGTAAAACTGTTTTTTACCTTTGGGCACTCCGGTGCTTCCGGATGTATAGAGGACAATAGCCAGATCGTCTTTTTCATGTTGTAAAATTGGGGATCCGTTCAAGCTGGTGTTTGGTTGATTTTCGCTGTGCTTGAAAATTTCGCCCGCCGATAGCTTGAATGTGTCCAAATAGAACGGGGAATCTGAAAATTGGTTCAGTTTTTAGACTTTTGCAATTCGGCGCTTGACGCTTTTATTGAGCCGATTTAGCGCTCAAACCGTTGTCTTTTGTCGGACTTCGAAACTTTAAGGTTCAGAAATATTCAAGCTCGAGCGGTTGAGTTTCAATATTTAGAAAATTCGAAAGTGGTCTTAAAAATAATTGAATTCTTCAAAATGTGCTTCCAGGAATTTTTCCACAAGCTGGGAAAAGAAGGAGCAATCTGGGAAAGCCTGGAGCGCCAAAGAAGTTGCAACATTGCAGCTACTGTGGTTTTGAGATAATTGAAGATTAAAAAAAAAGCTGTGCGCTTAAATAAAATCTTCATGATGTGCTTTCAAAAATTTCGGAAAATTTTCCAAAAACTTGCATTTTTTCAAAGAAGAAGCACCATCGAAAAATTGTTGCAGTCTGAAGCGCAACTCGCATAATTTGTGTGTTTTTTGAGATAATTATAAATTCGAAAAAGGATTTTGCGCTTACAGAAAATTTTCAAAATGTACTTTCAGGAATTTCGGAAATCATTTCAACAACTCGAATTTTTGGAAAGAAGCTGCAACATGGGAAAATTGTTAGAGCCAGAAGCGCTACTTACAAAACTGCGGTGTTTTTTGAGATAATTGAAGTTTTGAAAAGAAGTTGCGCGCCTAAAGAAAATCTTCATAATGTGCTTTCAAGAATTTCGGAAAATTTTCCAAAAACTTGGATTTTTTCAAAGAAGAAGCACCATCGAAAAATTGTTGCAGTCTGAAGCGCAACTCGCATAATTTGTGTGTTTTTTGAGATAATTATAAATTAGAAAAAGGATTTTGCGCTTATAGAAAATCTTCATAATGTGCTTTCAGGAATTTCGGAAATCATTTCAACAACTCGAATTTTTGGAAAGAAGCTGCAACATGGGAAAATTGTTAGAGACAGAAGAAGAAGCGCTACTTACAAAACTGCGGTGTTTTTTGAGATAATTGAAGTTTTGAAAAGAAGTTGTGCGCCTAAAGAAAATCTTCATAATGTGCTTGCAAGAATTTCGGAAAATTTTCCAAAAACTTGGATTTTTTAAAGAAGAAGCACCATCGAAAAATTGTTGGAGTCTGAAGCGCAACTCGCATAATTTGTGTGTTTTTTGAGATAATTATAAATTCGAAAAAGGATTTTGCACTTGAAGAAAATTTTCAAAATGTGTCTTCAGGAATTTTGAAAATAATTTCAACAACTCGAATTTTTGGAAAGAAGCTGCAACATGGGAAAATTGTTAGAGCCAGAAGCGTTACTTACAAAACTGCTGTGCTTTTTGAGATAATTGAAGTTTTGAAAAGAAGTTGCGCGCCTGAAGAAAATCTTCATAATGTGCTTGCAAGAATTTCGGAAAATTTTCCAGAAACTTGGATTTTTTTAAAGAAGAAGCACCATCGAAAAATTGTTGGAGTCTGAAGCGCAACCCGCATAATTTGTGTGTTTTTTGAGATAATTATAAATTCGAAAAAGCATTTTGCGCTTATAGAAAATCTTCATAATGTACTTTCAGGAATTTCGGAATTTATTTCAAGAAATCGAATTTTTGGAAAGAAGCTGCAACATGGGAAAATTGTTAGAGCCAGAAGCGCTACTTACAAAACTGCTGTGCTTTTTGAGATAATTGAAGTTTTGAAAAGAAGTTGTGCGCCTAAAGAAAATCTTCATAACGTGCTTGCAAGAATTTCGGAAAATTTTCCAAAAACTTGGATTTTTTAAAAGAAGAAGCACCATCGAAAAATTGTTGGAGTCTGAAGCGCAACCCGCATAATTTGTGTGTTTTTTGAGATAATTATAAATTCGAAAAAGGATTTTGCGCTTATAGAAAATCTTCATAATGTACTTTCAGGAATTTCGGAAATTATTTCAAGAAATCGAATTTTTGGAAAGAAGCTGCAACATGGGAAAATTGTTAGAGCCAGAAGCGCTACTTACAAAACTGCGGTGTTTTTTGAGATAATTGAAGTTTTGAAAAGAAGTTGCGCGCCTAAAGAAAATCTTCATAATGTGCTTTCAAGAATTTCGGAAAATTTTCCAAAAACTTGGATTTTTTCAAAGAAGAAGCACCATCGAAAAATTGTTGCAGTCTGAAGCGCAACTCGCATAATTTGTGTGTTTTTTGAGATAATTATAAATTCGAAAAAGAAATTTGCACTTGAAGAAAATTTTCAAAATGTGCTTTCAGGAATTTTGAAAATCATTTCAACAACTCGAATTTTTGGAAAGAAGCTACAACATGGGAAAATTGTTAGAGACAGTTTTTACAAAATCGCATTTTACAAAACTTGTGTGTTTTTAGAGATAATTGAAAAATTCAGAAAAGGTCTAAAATAATTTTTAAAATTAACGAATTTTTGAAATTTCCAAAAAATTTAATTTTTTTCAGTAAAGCAAGCTCTATGATTATTGAATTTTTAAATATATTTCAAGAAACTCAGATAACGATGAACATATAAAATGCTAATTCAAAATAGATTTTCGGAAATTTTTTAATTTTTTTCCAAAAATCTGAATTTTTTAATTAAAAGCAGGTTTTAAAATCTGTCGAGGCCTGGAGCGCAACTCACATAACTCGCGTGCGTCTTAAGATAATTCATGATTGTAAAAACGATTTTTTGCTCAAAAATATTCTTTAAAATGTGCCTTCAGGTATTTTTGAAATTTTCACAAAAACTGGATACTTTTTCAAAAAAGCCACATGAAGCCGCAAGAAAAGTTTTAATTGCTGGTGCAATGACAACTAAATTTTTGAGGCTTTTTCAGAAACTCAGATACGATTTGGCGCATAATATCGGAGTTTTTACAACATGAAATGGCGTTTTTCAAAATATTCAAAAAATTGAAACTGGTATTTATGCATCAGACTGGCTTGGAGGTGGCAAATTGCCCACGTATCTGTTTTTTTTCAAATAAACCAACAAAGTAGCAAATTAAAATGAAAAAGTTTTTTTCAATCCATTCTAAGATTAAAAACCAGAGGCACTTGAGTTATTTTGGAATTATTCAAAAAATTCAGATTTAGAAACAAACACAACAAAGAAAATTGAATCGGAATGTACTTGAAAACTCTCTTGCTTTCAACCTGCATAATTCCAATGCAAATCGATTTTTTCACCTTGCTGTGCGATTTGTATTGCTCAAGATACCCGATTTTTAATAATAAGCTTGCAAGACCATTAAACACCATAATTATGTTATGAGGCGATTTTTCAGTGTCATTCGCGATTAATTAATTAAAATTTATAGTTTTTGTGGCGCGCTCGATTCTTGGGTACAATAGTTGGATGTTGCTCAAGTGCAACCAACAAGTGAAAGCCCTGGATATAAATAAATATTTATCCGGACAGTAAAGTGTGATTGTTCAATTCGTTCACTCCAAAGCCTCCGACTTACCTTCATCATAAATCACCATCACAGGTCTGGACTCGCGAATTATGTGCTCGATTCTTGGCCCGGGAAATGCATGATCCAGTGGAAGATACGCACAGCCAGATTTCCATATGGATAGCAGGACTATCACCAAGCTACCAAAAAGTGTTATCATCAATGAATTAATAAGGTGAAGGACCATACCTATCACTTGGATGCATGTTAACAGCCACAATATAGTCCCCATCCTGATTTCTGGGGAGATTATTCTTCTGAACAGTCTCCTGTATGGTCCGGGCAATTTTGTTTGTGATTTTGTCGATTTCTTCATAGGTGTGATGCCTGGAAGATTCGTTTCCTGCAAGCAGTTCAGTTAGTGAAACAAAGGCAAAGAAAACGAGATTTACCTGCAAAAATGACTGCCGGTTTTTGCGCGCTCTCGCCATTGGCTACATTTTCGAACAACTTATGCAAAACGTTCGCCTGCAAGGCCCTGGTTGGTCCTTTGATGATGGATAGCTGGGGAAGTGTTCCCATTTCCTGCAGCAAACAGTCCATAATTGCCCAATTTTCAATGGTCGCCTTGGCGGATATTGCGTGATGATTTGGTAGCTATTATTATCTGGGTGAAGGTAAGATTTGGGCCTCAACTCTACCAACTTGCATTCGAATATTCGTTCAACGAAGGCAAACTGAGATTTAATTAATCTTATTTATAGTCAATTAGGACTAAGCAGGTACTTTCTAATGTTCTTGTCTGGTGCTTGTTCCATTCGATTTTGTATCTCGAAGGGTCAAAGCAATTGGTATTCGGAGCTTGTTAATGTAATGCATTACTGCACGTGTTAAATACTCCATTAAAAGAGTGCGTTACGGACTTCCAATAATATTATTCAAGGATAAATGGACAGTAAATCTTAGTAATTGCTGACTTGCATAATCCCCAATTGTATTGTTTCAGTAGAAAATTCAAGCTGAATGCAAATCAAGTATCTGTCTGATCATGATACGTTCTTGCATTTGAGCAAAGGTCCTAATGAAATTTTCAGCAAAGTTTCGTCAGAAAAATGGTTTTTTTGCAAACGCACTCTTTTGCTGCGATATTGAAGGAGGATTTATCTCATCAACTGATTATTGCTCTTCTATTTATTATGGAAACAGTTTTGAGGATTTTTTCCATCGTTCTCTGGTCTGCAGGTTGTGATGTTAAAATGCAATTTGAAAATTTCAGTCCAGACGTTTCACTCGCACGTATGGTTCGCATCTTCAGAGGCTGTTCTACCTCAGTTAAAGCGCCTCTCAAAAAGAGCCGTTGCAAGTTTCCAAACTATCTTCACTCTGTCGTTCTTTTACATACCAAAGCGAGTAAATTTGAAAACTTTGCCGCAAATTTTCCGGGTTTGTACTTTTAAATTTGTGTCTAAAGCTTGCCTCAAGTGATTCGAGCTCTGATGGAACACATGCCGGAAGGGAACTTGAAATTTGCAAAAGTCTGCTGTTAAATGCCTAAGAACGAAGTGAATTCCATATTTATAGCGTTTAAAAACGATTTTCCTTGAATGTGTGCTGTGCATCTGAATAAGTTTTCAAGGAAACTGTTTGGACAGGAATGATTTATTTTAAATGCATTTTGCAGAAAATGCATGCGTTTTTCTTCTAAATAACGGATTAAAACGCTAGTCTTTGGCTTCTAGTTATTTCTGAAGCGAATTCGAAGAGAAAATGACTGGAAAAAAGGTTTTTGGTCGAAAGTGCATTCAAGATTTGCAGCTTTTAGCAGTTTTAAGTTGTATGGACTACGAAACTGAAAAGTTACTGGCAAAAGCTTTTTTAAAGCTAAGTTTCCAGAGGAACAGCAAAATCGCGCGGTATATAAAACAAAAAAACACACATAAAGAGAGAATACAAAATAATGCGCTTAAAATGATCATTCAAAAATGGGTGAAACTTAATTTTCTCCGGAACAAGAGCAACAGTTTGTCTGATGAAGCCAATAAGCGAAAATGAAAAATATCGCACAGTCAATTTGAAAATGCAGCCAAGAGTGAGCTTTAATAATTTATTATTTTAAAGAAAATTGTTTGAAAATGACGCAAAATCAAAGCAAAAGTAAAAAGTGGATGAAAGTGCGACTTTTTCYTATCAAATTAAGTAGCTAAARTYCTTTGCSRCAAGAAAATATTGTTTGCATATTTATACAGGATGTTCCATAAACGGACAAAGTTTGTTACTGTATTATTGAACSTACGTGTTTTTCAAAAAAAACTGAAGTGGAAAAATTTCGAAAATTTCTGGGCGCGYTTGAGGAATTGTTTTGAGCAATATTTCCATAAATTTGCAAAAAATGCGCAAAAATGCTTGAAGGCAGAGTGAACTSAARCTTTATCTGCATTCTGCGATGGGAAAGTAGGTGTTGGAATTCGCATTTAAACATATTCAATATTTACATACATTTTTGCGCGCTACACTCAAAAGTAGCAAAATGCGAAATTGGGTCGAAGGCACTCAATATGAAAACTTTTGGTATATTTTAGCCAAGTGATTTTTATTGTATCTCCAAAAGGAAAAATGCTGGACGTTTTAGGGGCTCGAAACTCTCTGGAAGCGCGTCTCCTAAAATGTATATTTTTCGCACAACTTTTCCGGCTGTGGACAAGAAACGCAAAATAATTACACTTATCGCCTTTTTTGCAGCTTTGCTGCCAATTAGTCTGTTTTTTGTGGATATTTTCGCGCTTTTCCAGCCTGGACTTTGAAAGAACCCGCTTTGAACTCACCTTTTCTTCTTGCACAGTGCACTGAAAAATATGCGCAATGATTTAAAAGAAACCCCGAAAAATCGTCCGCACCAACTGAACCACACTGAATGCTGAGCGTCCACGAAGGAAGTCCCAACCAAAATAAACAAACCGATTGCAAAAGCGACTTATTTCTTCATTAGCCACTTAAAATGGCCTTCTCTTTCTGGCACCAGCGGCTGGTACCGTCAAAAACAAGGCGCGATATAGATTTTTTTCCGGAATTTTCGCCTCCAGTGGGGGAATGGTTCTTGGAGGATGCGACACAGGAGTTTCCGCACCACGTCATATAATGGATGAACTAGTTTCCCGTTTTATTTATTATTTGCAATTGCTACTGTTTATTCATCATGCTGTTTGGTGGGTGTGGTTCGAAAAGAACCCATTAATACCCTGGGAAAACCCGTGGAGTAATGCGGTTAAAGTTGTCGTAATGATTCTTGGTATTGGGGCGATTGATTGGTTGATTGATGCGACAAATCTGGAGGAAAAGCCCCTAATCAGAAGAGGAACGCTGATGAAGTCTTGAAATTTCTGAGGATGAAGTTAAGTTGAAACCTTTTGCGCTAATAGAGCTTGATTGATTGCGCGAAGTTTTGAAGGAATAGTTYTAGATGAATCTCCTGCAGGAAAYCTTCGGATGCTTGAAAATCTCCCATCAAAAGWTGCTGGCAGACAATTCAAAAATRTATCTTAAATGCTTGAGGAGCGAGTGAAAGAACAACCTCCACTGTTAATCAAGTGTGTTTTTCTCCAAAAAGTGTGGATTTCTGCCCCTCAGAATCAATTGCCAAGCTTTCTTCAGCTTATATTAAATATCTTCTTCTAAGATATTCAAAATAAAAAACCGGTCCATCTTTGAGTGCGTGAACGCAAACAGTAAAATAAAGAATCTTAGAAGAATCTATTTGTGATTATTCAAAGTTTGCTGAGTTAAACCCCTAAACTTTCMGATAGAAAGTCGGACTTGTTTGAAAGGCCGTTTGATTCCCGTTKTAATGAYTCCAAATTGAYAAACTTTGATTTTGCGWTTYASATAAATTTACAAAAATTGGCTTGAGCGATGGCCATCAAGTGCAATGTAYAGAAGCTAAACRAATCATTTRGGAAAAACTCCGACGGGGTCAAGTCTGGATGTYTAGCCGGCTACCCMGAACCACTTCGCATATCAATTAACACATCGTGCATAATGAGGAACATTAATAATTTAATGTCCGTCTGGAGTCAAAGCACTAATTGCCTGGCTGAATGGCGCTCAAAAGGTGCAACGATTGCAACAAGCAACCGATAAAAAAATGCTTCTGTTCAGTCTTGAATGGGCCACCTTATATAAGATTTTTTCTTCGAAAAATCAGTTGATTCTTCTTTTCAATTCCCTCATGCATAGCGTTTTTCATTACGAAATCCGAAAAACCTTCTTTGTGTAGCGGCGAAGGCCATAATCAATTAAACGATTAATTATTACGAGAGCTAAAGTGGACTAGGTAGCAATTTTGAAGAATAATTCAAGGTTGTAGATTTAGCTAAATAATATATAGTTAGCAACTAATTGAACGCACTTAATCAAGCCGGGGCTTTAATATTATATTTGAACAACTGCACATGCAGCCGCCATTTAGGTTCGATAGGCTGGTAAATGTTTTCCGCAAAAAATTGTTGCAAATCGCTCGCTAATAAAGCATTTTAGTCTTGACCTGATAATTCCGTGCACTGTTCACGATTGTTTTTTAATTAGAATTGATATCTGATTTAAAACTGTGGTTGCCTCAGTCCGGGGTTTGGATTTGTTAAATTTCCTAATTAATTAATGCGAGTTGAAAAAGCGCATTCTATATGTCGGCCCCATTGGAAATTAAATCTGTTGCTTAACTTAATGAGGATTTGGCCAATTATCCGATTAAGCAATCTGATTGTATTCTCATTTTGCACTAATTTGATGCCGCCAATTGAAAAATTGCGAAAATATTTAAAAATCTGCCCAATACTGCCTTCTGCTGCGGCAATTTTGTTATTTACTGCACAAAGGAGTCAAGCCCTTTGATATATTGTGCAATTGCTCTAATTGGCACCGACAACTAGAAGAAAACATGCATAATTATTTAATTAGCATAATTTAATTAGTCGAGATCAAATTAAATATTTTTCATTAAGTGGGCTGTTTTTCTGGCCACGCTGATTAACAAGCGACATTGAAGAAAATGCCCTGAAGTGTATCAACCTGAAATGCTCATTAACATCTGGCCAGATATTTCATCATCTCATCTGAGAAAAGTTAATATTTCGGGCTTCGAACGCTGCAAAAATCGTTAACCAATCAACAGATTTATTTTAAAAACCAGTTTAAAATGTGTGATTGACCGCTCATTTGTTTACCACTGGGGGCTCGCATTAAAACAACTTTAATTAAATTAACTAAATTGAATTTAATCTGAAACACTTAACAGTGAGTAAGTGATACTTTTCTCGCCCGTGTGTTGCATCCGAAAAGCCTAATTTAAACCCAAATCCTTTAAACAAAGTCAAAGTTCTGCTGAGATAAAATGATGAAGACCCCCCTGTATGTCCATGTGGGGACAGTTTTATTTCAAATTTCCCTCCCTTCTGCCAAGTGGTTAAGAACCGCTATTTAGAGCCGGTTAGTGTGCATCTCTTTTTAACACGTCCGAAAACTGGTCATCCTGCTCTTGCGATGCCCTCGAAATTATCAGCTGATTGTCGGTTTGTTGACGTCTAGATTTTCGGTCATCAAAATAATCATCAAATTCATGTTTATCAATTGTAACATTCGCTATTCGCACAATCAAATCATCAACTGGGCTGTTTTACTGAAGCCCGAACAATTTCCAAGCCACGGGAGTTGCTTGCCATGAAATCGCTTCCCTGGGAGTGAAAAAACCACTTGCAACATGTTCAAACTTGAATCCTACATAACTCCCATTATTTTAAGCTATGTGAATCGGTACATCAATAACTTTAAGCCTGAAGATTCGCAGGTGAGTTTTTCGGGTCTTGCTGGGGCCTTCAGCGCTCTAATTCAGTCGCTTCAAGTGCATCTTTATAAGGGCATGTTTTTAATGTTAAAATGAAAACTGTCCCACACTTGAGTGAATGAAGCAGTTGATCTTTATCTAAATTAAGCAAGTCAACTATTTTAGGTAAGTCTTTGGGGTGGAGATGCCACATTTCACAATTTGGAGCTGAACTTGGAAGTGCTTGAGCAAGAGCTGCAACTTCCATTCAGCTTTGTTTCTGGAAGTATCCGGGAACTTTCAATACACGTTCCATGGACAAAAATCACCTCCGAACCCATCAGAATCACCATCAACACCATAGGTATTGCGGGTGTTTCAGTAGGAAAACATTTGAAGGATTTCTTGTGTTTTTAGAATGCATTTTAAATTTGAAAGGAAAGAGCACTAGGCAAACGCCGAACCAGAAAGGAAAGGAGAAAATCACCGGGCAAAAGTACGCGTTGTCTTCACAAACTCTGGTGGGCATAAGATGAGATTTTATGTGTTTTTTTTTAGTAAGAACGTTGAAGCCCCACCTGGTTACATCCAGTCGCTGATCAATAAGATCGTGAGCAACATCAGCATACATTGCAACAATTTAATTTTGAAATACGTGGAGGAGGATATTGTGCTGTCGATGAACGTGAAGCTGCTCAAGTTTGAAAGCGCCAATAAATCATGGGAACCCGCCTATACTGGTAAAATTGGCTCAGCACAACTAACGATATCACATTTGCAATTTCTTTTTCGGGCATTTTAACAGACTTCCAGTGGCTTCATCTTGTAATTGTCCTGTTCAACCCTAATTTTTAGATCTTTCTCCAGCTCAAGTAATCCTGCGGAAAGTAATAAGCGTCAGCGACCTCACCCTTTGCCTGGATAAGAGGAACGCATCCGGAAAAATCGAGATCTATCAGGAACCCATGTTGTACAGGTGATAACAACAAATTCAGTTCATTTCAATCAAAACATGGTTCTATTCTGCTTTTTTTTATAGATGTTCCATGACGATTCACCTGTTAAGGCACTACCATTCCGCTACAGCCAATGTGGCCTCAACCACGAGGTTGGATGTTTATTGCAACAAGTGAGTGCAAGGCCGGAATCGATAATTCAATATTAGGCAGATTCTTATGAAGTTTATCTATTGTGTATAGCATGGAATTCAGCATGACCGAGCAACAAGTCCCCATGCTGATCCGCCTGCTTACCCTCCTTTATGCGCTTCAACAGAAGCATTTGAAGCCTGAAGTGGAACACAATGCAGATGGCGCCGGGAGTTCAACCGATAACAGTGGCGGTAAAGCTTTAAAGTAGCATTTGGGCAAAATCTTCAGCATTTATCTTGTGCAGAGTCTCTAGAAGCAGGAGCCACTTGGACTGGCTGGGCTTGGAGTTACGTTTCCTCCGTATTGCCTGCGCCTTGGGAGGACGAGTGGGACCAGGAAGACATGGAAAGCCCCAGAGGGCACACCCTACACGTTGGGCTCTATGTGGATCGAGCCTCAATCACTTTCAAGGTGGATATTTATGTAAAGGAATTATCGAGCTTTCGCTGATGAATTTTAGGTGTCCGAATCCAACCAAGAGCATGGTTATTACTCGCTTAAGAAGCTCTGGTACCACCCGATGCTCACTTTACATCTAGAAGGAATCTACAGCGATACTCTAATAAGCGGACTGCAGTGGTTTAATTGCACCGGCGGCATTAGCAAGGCGACGCTCATGCCTGCTGGCTACTGCAGCTGCGGCAATGTGGAAGTTAACGAGAGCACAGCGCCGTATTTGAAGCTAGGTAGCCTTTGTCTACTGATCCGAATTAAAAGTTTGATCTTCGGCTTCAATCAATTAAGGTTCGGCTTCGAATTTCCATAAAGTGGACTCGCTGTTTGATGCGGATGCAGTTGAGAACAAAGGAGGCAAGCGAGTGTATGAAACCTCATGGGATCACCACATGGCCACCACTACAGAGTCGGTGCTTTTAGAAAAAACCCCCGCTTTTGCCTTTGACTACGTGTATCAGCTGGAAATACCCAGCGATATGAGCAGCGACATTCTAACTGACCTGGGGAGCAACTATGAATTTAGGTAGTGGTAGTAACAACCTGCTTTTAAACAAATAACTATAACCCTTGGGTTTTTCAGCAATTTTCCAGAAATGTCAGCGCTTCGTTTGTGCGTCGGCCCCTTTAGGCTTCGGGTATGTTCAGGGTTAATCCATCGATGCAGCACCTTGCAAGTTGCGGCTTCTTTTTACGATTACCCGCCTTACTACACGCCCAAACCCGATCTGGCCCTCCTAGAACTACTGCCGCCTTCAGAGGAGGACTTTGATGCCTTGAACGACTTTATCCCTAGCAGGACTATGCGGGTTACGTTCTTTGCTCCTGTGATCGAGCTTGAGCTGTTGGATCATCCAGTTTTCCGCCCGGATAAGAGATGCTTGTTTAGGAGAAATAAGGTACTGAAATGTTCCCTGTGTTTTTTCAGTGGTTGGTTTGATTCAAAAGGCCTTCTAGAAATCTTCCACCACGGGTATGCCAACGAGCAGATCAGCGCTGCCAAAACTTACCCTTGAGTGCCAGTTTATTGATATTAGCCAACAATATCCGATGTATGTGAACAGACTGGTTCACACCACTTGCCAGCTACCGGAGCCTCCCAAAAAACTGTTTGAAGCCTGCTTTATTCGGAAAAGCGTTAAAGTTGTGGGGCTGTTTAGCCGGTTGGTCACGAATCCTTCCTGCCAGAGTATCATTTTATCACCCAGCAGTGTATCATACGGGTAAGTTGCGCGTTATTGCGTCGGGTTGTTCCAGCGGCCAACACGATTGAGGTTTGCAGCTCCAAAACCATCCTGAAGCCGCAATACTGGATAAATTCCCACATACCGCATAGCGAGATCATTTTCGAGAGTGAGAACATCACTTTAAACGGCACCAAGGCGAAGATGCTGGTGGCGATTGAAATAGTGGGAAAAATCCTGAGTAAGGGTCTAAATTCGTTGGGTGAAAGCATCTACGGCTCCAGCTTGCTGACTGATGCATGCAAAGACGTTGGTTTTGCGTATATGGAAATTTGCTTCGACGGAATACGCTTTAAGAATGTGGTAACAAACTCCACTCAAACCATGGACGCAAGCATAGGCGCAGTCAAAGGCTTTATTTTCGAGCCCACTAAGACTCAGAATATGCTTCAGCAAGTGCTGTTCATTAGCGGCCCCGAAGTGAAGCTGGACCCCAAAAGTTCAAGGTTTGCCATAAATACTTCCGAGAAGCAGTTCACGCTAGTCCTAATTTTTTTCAGTTTTGCTGAAGATCCGCCGCTTCTCACAGTGACAGTGCAATTTCCCTTGCGGCCCGAGTTGCAGAAGCATCCTCCTATCCTGGTGTTTAATCTGCAAGAGATCCGCATTTGTGTTGATCCGCTGTTATGCAAATGGCTGATGTACGTTCCCAAGAGTTTCCTCTTAAGGTGCGTGGATCTCGGGTGGAAAGTGCATTAAAATAATTAGTAGACCTTTAGTGATATCAGCGACCCGATTTCCCTGTCAAGAGCAGTCAGCTTTTCCGAAGCTAGTGGGAGTTTAATGGAGGCGCCCAGGAGACTGAGCACTAACAAGTTAGAGTCCGTCCATAGCAGCTCGGATCAGAAGGTTTCTCCGAAAGTTCCCGATTCCGCACCGACAGAGGAGCCTGTTGACGTGAGTTTTTGCAGGAAAATCAACTTTAATTTTGTTGATATTTACATTAACCCCTGTGCAGCTTCAAGAAAAAGTCTACAACGCACTGCGGGAATGGTTTGATGTTTGGAAAGGCATGTTTTTGGCGGGCGATGTGTCGCAATGCACCATCTACTTCCCCATGTCTTCTCTATCTGCTATTGGCTCGCAGGGTATTTTTCTAACGCGCGCACTAAAGACGTACTGATGCTGTTTTCCCTAGGCATCCAAGAGGCGGTTGAACAGGCGCTTTGGAAAATCACACCTCCCGATATTCTGGTAATCACTCTGCCGTTTGCCAACATTAGAAGCTCGCAGCGGCAGAACATTAGCAACTACTTAAAGGAGCTGCCGGTTACTTTACCCGAGGGCATTTGGGCGTTAGGTAAGTGGTAAGCTGTCGCCCAGGGTCTGTTTTAACTGGTTGCTTTTTTGCAGATAAGTCGAGTTTTCCCTGGACAATGTCCGTGTCCGAACTGAGCTGCTACACTTTGCAATCCGGGGAAAAGCTGATTTTCCTTAAGCCAGTGTCTTTAAGTGCCACAGTCGGCCTGTCCACCAGGCCCTCAAAGGGGCCGCTTGTATCTGTTGCTCCGACGATTTCTACTGGAAATGCTTTAAAGAAAACTGGTAGTTTGGACTTTCTATGGATTTATTCATGCGGGTAAACTGAATGGTTTCAGCTTCGGCTCATCCAAGCGATCAAAAGCGCAAAGGCTCAAAAAACAGCAATCTGAGCGGCGCCAGCAGCTCCAATGCCCAATATGGGAAAAGCAATGCGAGCAGCACTACCAACAGCCCGGCGAAAAAGGCGCAGAAAAACCTCGACCAGTCTAAGACGAGTCCCAAATCGGCGCCGCCCCGTAAAGTTGATATCGGCTATTTGGGTCTGTTTGGTTGCTGTATAATCGGCTGTGTGTGTAACGAGTTTTTGTAGGTGTTTGCGTCCATATAGATACCACCCCAATAGCAATTTCCACTTCGGAGGTGCAGGTTTATTTATTTGCCAGCATTTTGTACGGACTGATGGAAGTGGCTTCAAGTCTAGTCCCTGCGAGCAAAGCTGCGATGTCCAGCAAACTGGCGGACGTGCCTGCTCCCACACAGACTAGAGGTAACATTGAGCTTCCTACATCAAACGTTATGCATCGGGAAATTTCCAGGAAGTTCCACCTTGTCGCCAACTCAACTAAGGGATACTGCTAGCGACAAAACCCCGCCGCTTGGAAGCAGCAGCAGCCCAGAAGATCTACCAGAAGCGGATTCAGTAAAGCTAACTGCCTGGATCCAGTGGACGATTACACGCTTTACCATTGAGCTACTATCAAGCGAATTCAACGGTATGCGCCGGCTTTACACTTAAGGCTGCATTGGTAATTAGGGGATTTTCAGGATTGGCGGCCCTCCAAGCCCAACCCCGTTTAAAGCTGGTAGTCGACGCCGAGGACATTGTCAGTTCGCTGGATTTCCAGAGCATCTATCTGAAAGTCAAAAGCAAAATTGGATCCGCTTCTATTCAGCATTACGAAAGGTTGGTGTGGAGGGAGAGTTAATTCGCGTTGAGTGTTGAGATTTTTTTTTAGGATGAGCCCCGCTTCGAAATGGCAGCCGGGCGCGTTTTCCGGAATTGTGATGCGATTGAGGGAGGATTTGGCGGCGAATCAGAAGCAGGAGGACAGTAGTTTGATTAGCGTTACTATAACCAGGGCTAGTTGCCAGCACACCCATACGCTTTGGGGCGCTGTTCAGAAGAATAGTAAAGGTTGCTCTGCTTGGCCACCATAATCCTTTTTGGCTAAAGTTGCGGTTTTTAGATAAAAAGTCTGACGCCAACACGCAACTACTTTCAAAGTCGCGTTACATTACGGAAATCGTCGTCAATGTACAGCCCCTGGATTTCGTTGTGTCTCTCAGCACCCTGAGGAGTTTCTATCTGGTGTTGGTAAGCTTTGAACGCACTTTCCGAGTGTTCTCTTTTCATTGCCCCATAGATTCCGTTATTGAACATTCCTGCCAATGCCCCAGAGCCGCGCAAACCCGACGTTTCTTCCATGGGTGGCCTGTCGACCATCAACAACCAAACACTGCCTTTGGCTTATTTGGATTGCCAAGACATCAGGGTGATAATGCCCTCGAAGGACTTGATAGGTGCTGTTTTGTGTTGTGGAAAATCTGGATTAATTGCGGGCGTTTTTTAGGCAGTGGCACTTTCTACGATACAGTGGTGTTTCAGTTGCAGAAGATTTCCCTAAACCCGCAGGCGGTAAATCCCATTTGCCGCACCCCAATTCGTTCGGATATTTACGATCAGGCTGCTCACGCGCGGATTTTGAATATTCCAGGTGGGTTTTTGCTGCAATCTTTCTAGTCCGAGAGGCTAATAAACGGCGGTTTCAGGCAGTGAAGTCGAAGACCGGCAATACCAGCTGGATATAGTAGGAATTTCCGTGTGTACTGGCACTTGGGACGATATTAACGCAATTTTAATACCGACGAGTAACTTTCTGTCAAGCTTAAGGGGATTGAGCGAGAATCCTGCATTGGAATGGAACATTTTGGAGCAGGGCCAACCCAACATGACGCCCACTTTGAGCTTGAGATGTATAGTGGAAAAGTTAGCCTAAACTCCCACAACTTTTGATTGGCTTCGAGTAATCAACTGCTCGTTTTTTAATAGTGTTCACATCACAGTGGTGGCCGCTCCTGCAATGGTCTACAAGGACAACACAACTTTATGCGGTCATTCAATGGAAATCAACTGGGTGTCCGATACTCTGATGAGCCTTTCACTGCAGCAGATCAAGCTGCTTTCGGCGATTTTCACCGAATTCGTGCAGCTAATCACGCCGTTTATTATGGAGGTAATTGCGGGGATTGGGGGGCCAGAGCTGCGCTCACTACCGAAGTTTTAGGATGGCGTTTTGAAGAAGCCCAAGATCAAATTTCCTTATTCGAGGTTTGACTCTGTTACACCCGATAGGAATTCTAGCAGCGACCTGCCCGCTAATCAGAGCAGGGATTCCGGGATAGATACGTCTGACTTGAAGAGTGTTCAGTCGTCTAAGGGACAGGTGAGGAGAGGTTGATGCTATTTTTTAAGCTTGCGACAAAAGGAGCGGCGAAAAAACTGATATTGCAGGTTGCAATAAAGCAGGCTTCCGATAGCGACAAGCAGCTAGTTTTTCCACGACCCCCAAACACTGTACCGTATATTTACTCATCCGTACCCATCGAAGTTATTCTGACTGCAGGAAAAATCGGGTTAACCCTCTACAGTGTGGACGATGAACGCACTACCAACAGCAGGCACAAAGGACGCAAGAAGAAAATATCCAAGAAGGTAAAACAGTGCATAGTTAACCAAACTGCGGGGTTTTGGACGTTGTTTGCTGCAGTCTGATGACGATCAAGGATATGAAGCCTCAGAGGAAAGCACCGATGACCGCGGCCACCCTTCCAAGAAATACACTGCTTTGCTTCATCTCTGCTTCACTCAACCGAATGCGTTTTATTCTCAACAGCAAGCGGGCAGAAAACTGCAGGTAGAATTTCTTCAATTTTGGGTGGGGGTTTTGTTAATGAATGTTTGTTTTAGATTTCCTGTTTCGATGTCAATCTGAAACTAAGCGGCCCTGAATATTCAGCAATCAATCGCATTCCTACCGAGCAGGACTTTCCTACAAACTTGCTGGAAACTAAGCCGGGAACGCCCAACACAAGCAACGGCATTTTGCCGGCCTTTTTTACGATGCGTTTTTCTAAAGGTCTCTCATCTGAAGAGTTTCACTCCCTGAGCCACTGATAATGCAGTTTGTTTAAGCAGTGGGGAAACATTCCAAGATCGAACTGGATATATTAAAGCCGTCTAAGATCCTGTGCCAATCCTCCAAGTGGAGCCATTTGATTGGAATAAGCAATAAAGTGGTGGATTCATTTAAAAGCGGAGGAGGTTCAAGCAGTTTCATGGCTTTGTTGCAAGCTGCACAGTCGACAGCGAAGAAACACGCAGCTGTGAATACCAGATATATTAAAGGCAACGACACTTTTAACAAGTTTCAGCACATAAGGAATATCTTGGGTAATTAGCTGATTAAATCTAAAAAGCTTGACTAAATTCACATGTTTGTTTTGTCCAGGAACAACGAACGCTGTCTCCTTAAAGTTCGACCAATTGATTCTGGCAATACAGTCAGACAGCGGCCATGAGGTTCACTTGGGAATGCGCGAACTGAACAGTCATCTGCTGTTGAGCAGCAGGCCAGAAAAGATTTGTCTGACCACCACGTTCGACTGTCTAACGTTGACGGTGATTCATGACGATTTTAAGAAGCTTTTGCTCAATCCCTGGACCATCACGGTAGAAGCGAGCGTTTTCTGGGAATCCTGGCAGGATCCCGACAGCAATCCACAAGTCTGCGACCCAACAAACTCCTTTCTAGATGCTAATTTTGATAGTTGCAGGTGCAAATCAGTGCGGAAAGCGACTGCATTTTAGTGGACGTTACAGCTGAACAGCTCCAGTGTCTGGAAATGGTTTTGAAGGATTTTAATGAGGGTTTTTCTTTCCTGCCGACCGCGAGCCCGGCAGGCCAAAGGGAGGAAAGCCAACCCAAAGCGGCTGAAAAGGATCAGCACTATAAGGACGATCTACGCGCTGGTGCTTTTCAGTTCGTGGACTGCAGTACGGATAATATGGACGAAATGCCTTTGCCCTATCAGGTGAGCGTTGGTTTGGTTAGCGGTGAATTTATGGAAGGTTTAATGCGTGAAATAGGTGATGTTCTGGACGAGAACAGTCTGTGCAATGGCTTGGAAATACCCACAGCCCAGGGCGCTGACAAAAGTGCGCGTTTTCCCAGTCCCGTACAAAATGGTGCTCAATCCGCAAGACAATATTGCCGTGTTGTGCCATCTGGAGTACTGGTCTGAGTATCGCAACTGCTACATGCCTTACACGCAATTCAGTCTATCGGAAAGCGAAGTGTGCCACTTACGCTTGCCCGAAGGATGCCCACAGAAGGTAGTCGCTAGCACGTGGAGGGTAACACTCATTTTCCCGTTGCTTGCCAGTTTGACCAACCGATGATTTCCATAGGTTGTTATAACTAACGTTGACGAATCCACTGAAGAGCCGATTCCAAATAAACGCGGAATATCCCCGCGAGCTTTGGCTGCTTGCATGAGGATCGACTCCTACTTTAACAAGCTGCTGATTCCCAACCTGAACATCGCCCTGTACATCACCAGGCTGGAGGTGTCGCTCTACAACTTTTTGCCGAAACACGCCATGGTAAAGCTGCCCGAGTGCCTGAAAAAATACAACTCCGACCTGGCGTTTCCGGAGGCGCAAAAGTTCCTAACACTCACGCTGGACAGTCTTAGTGCGTATTTTTGCACTTGGAACATGGACGTTTGGATGGCCGAGCTGAACTGCTCCATCCATTCAACGATTCTAGATTATGCCTACTTAACCGAACAGACATTGATTGGTGCGTATTCTGCGGGCTGAAGTGCAATTGAACGGCGGATTTTTTTAGAGCCGTTTACTTCTAAGCTGGAACTGTTCCTGTCCAAAGGCCTGCAGGGGAACTTTATTTCCAAGCCCATACAGCTGAAATTTGGGCCGAGCATAGCGCACACCTTAGCGATAAGTTCTCAGATCTGGACGCAAGGCTATATAAGCGACAAAAGACAGCTGGATTTTATCGTAACCAGCCGCTATGTGATATGCAACGACACCAACTCTTGCATCAGGTTCGGCCAAGATGGCACGCAGGAAAACGTTTTCCTGCCCTCCAGGGTTTTCCATTTGTATTCGTGGAGATCGCAGAAGAAACCGCAGCAGTTGAGGTAAACGCCAGTTCCTCCCCAGTCCCCGCAGTGTTTAACTGAAGAATTTCCAGACTGTCCTTGGAACGTTCTAATTGGAGCTGGTCAAAACCGTTCAGGCTGTTCAAGGAAGGCACGCAAATGATCCATTTTAGTTCCGACAGGAACTACACAGTATTCGTCACAGTGAAGAATGTGTCGAAGACCCAGAAGCAAATCACCTTCTTTGGCCAGCTGATTGTCTGCAACATGTTGGCGGAACATTTTGAGATGAAGGTGCTTAAATCGGGTAACCAAAGGCGGATCCAGACGGGGGGTCGTGTCCCCCCATTCAATTTTCTATCCAACGATGCCAAAACGAATTCTGTGGCTCGAATGGTTCTTGGGAAACTTCGAAAAAAGCAGCGTCATGTTCAAGTGAATTTTGCAACTCAAAAAAAAACACGCAAATTTGAAACTTCTTGAATTCAAGCATTTTTTGAGAAAACTGCCCACATTTTCCCATCGATGGTTCACTTTCTAAAAAGGCCATTTATTTCTGTCTAGAATGATGTACAAATGAGCGTTCTTGCTCATTTTTCCTCCGAGAAATGACCAAAAATGGGCCGGAAAACATGAAAGTTTGGCATAATCTTGAACCTAAGTGTTTGATATTCAAATTTTGCTTTCTGGGCCAAAACTATTCGAATTTCCTCACTCACGTTGTTACGACTGAATCGACTTTTCAATTCTCTATCCAACGATGCCAAAACGAATTA